TTCCCTGGCCCTTTTTGTCACTTTTGCCCTCAGAGTCTCTGGGCGCAGAGCAAGAATGTCTTCCTGTGTGCCTGCTGCGTTATCAGATCAGAAGACAAGGATGTTCCAAAGTATGAGAAAAGCAAAGTGCAAGCTTTTTAGGTTTATAAAAATTAAACTTCTGCCCCTCCTCCTTCTGTTACAAGGCAATGACATAGGCCAGAACTTTCCTTAATGTGATCTGTCATACGTGGTTTTTGTCCGTCATTCAGAATGAGTTCAGGACTGGGAAGATTGATTTAGATAGCACAATGAAACTGCTTGAAAAACTACAAATGCCTTTTGATTTCGCACATGTAAAACATGTTTTCAAGGTGAGGAATATGTCGATAAAGCAATTAAATACATTTAGAAATCTAGTTACATAAGTACCTTGTATTTGCTGACTTATTAAAATTATTGTCTTGAGAAGTGAATTTCATGCTAGTTGGATGTGCAAAATCAGCAAATAATTTGCCTCGTCCGGGTCTTTTGTTTCAGTGTATAATAGATAACTGAGTGGTTGCATTACCACCATCTCCACCACACCACAATAGTGTAGGGTGATGGAAAATATGTAGATTTTGATTCCCAACCTTTTTATAACAAGGCCTCCCTTGAGAAAAATTAAAATATTCTCGTTTCATCCCATCCAGCTGCTTCTGTGCTCAAGTTAATGAGTCCAGACATGCCTGTCTGGTGCTGGGCAGAGCCATTAGAGTGACTTCCTAAAAATCCTTTTGCCAGGAGGACAATATGAAGTTGTCTGATCTGCTCAGGCTTCAGGTCAACATAGGTCCAGCACACTTTTTTATTTAATTTTCCACTGTGCCTCTCTTTTGAAGTATTTAAGAGGTGTGCCCAAATGGATGGGAATTGCACTCTAACCTGCAGGAAAGGACGTGGCCATGAAATATGGCAACACTTGAGAGATTTCTGTGAAGGTTGCAGTGATATAGCTAGAAATTGAACTTGCTAATGAGTTAATTCAATGTAGTTAAGCAAACTACCATCAAGTGGATGCGGTCCCAATAAGCAAATACTGCAAAATTGAGTGCCTTTGGGCATATTAGGTTTTCGTGTTCTTCAAGTGTCCTCTAGTAATTACTCAAAAGATGTATGCATTTTCTTTTTAGCTCATTTTTTTTACCAGCAATAGCTGCTTGGTAAAGCTGTTTTCCTAAGGGAATGATGCCAAATGGCTGTATATATATGTGATTTCTTTGAGAATTTTCTAACCAGCTGGCTGATTCTGTTCAGATTTGACAGAGGACAATTAACTATGGCAAGTCAGAAACTTTTAGGTCACGTCATGCTGACAGGCAGGCAGAGGGAAGGCATTAAGATTTCCTCACTCTTTCTTGTTCCTCTCATTGTTCTCTGCCTTGTAGAGCCAAGGCAAAACCAGCAGTGTGAACTCAACCCTTGCTGAAGAGACTGCCTGTGGTTTTTGAACCTGCACTACATTGAAAGAATTGTCAACCTTGAGAATCTCATGAGAATTTGAAACTATTTCTCATTGTTTCCTGTATTTTCCACCTACTTTACTTTCTGACAGAAATTTGAGAGTGATGATCAATTGTGGGTAGACAGTAATTATTTGAGGAAGTGACCTGCATAGAAGTCTGATCTAGTTATATTTAACAATATAATATACTCAACAGTCTGATCTAGTTATTTGCAGCAGTACTGTTAGGTATTCTTTGCTATTTGAGAGACATTTGAGTATTTTTCAATAGTTTTGGGGCTCAAATTGTTCATCAGTATAATAGAATGTAAAAATGCAAAGCAATCTGGAAGGAAAGCTTACCAGCATCATTGTCAGTAACTATACATAACAGTTAATTGAATGGATATACATGGCAAAACCAATTTTCTAGGAAACATAGTTTTTAAAGAATAAGCTGCTTTTTTTCTTGTATATTCTCTTTGAATTTATTTCATTGTAATGCTCCTTTGAGAAATATCAGAATTATGGACATTAAGACTTTTAAGGAATAATACGTTTTCATATAATTCCTCTCAAGACTCAGTCTTTGTCAAGACACTTCTTTTTCTGAATAGTAAAGATTTGATGTGCGTTAAGAAAAAAAAATACTAAAAATCTACCAACAAAAATTTTATAACAATCTTTTTTTTATATTGACATGATTTTCGTAGCTTTAATTTGAAAAACTCCCCTGTGTACTATTATTGCCTGTATTTCGTCAAGAGGCAATTGAGATAAAAAATTTAATTTTTTGCCCAGCTTCACTTTGTGCCAATACCTAAGTGAACATCTCCCGAGTCCTGATAGATTGTTTCATTCCAAAATAAGCTGGTATTTTCTTTTTCTATGTAACAGTTATGAGTAAATTTGCAGTTTTCTTAAAGATGTTAGAAATTAGATTGTGGATATCAACCTCATATGTGGGATTTCTCAAGCAGTAATGAAGTGCGTATTATTAGCGTTTGTATTGAATTATTTTCTTACTGGTGATTTTTGTTAAAAATTATCATTACAAATCTCTCTCACAAATTCAAAGCAAATACTTAAAAACTGATTTGTAAATTTTTTGGCTAGAACTCATGAAATTTACTTTTGTACTTGTTTTGGTTATCTAATGTATTCTTTTATTGTTGTACTTATTCAGACATCTCTTAGTAGGAACTGTACTTGCATGGGAAGAAGCTGGTAATGTATCATTAGGCTTTTAGTTTTTATGGTGTCTCTTCAAAACTAATCTAATTTAATAGTAATCAAAATTCTTCATCAAATTGCAGCCAGAACTTGTAAGCTATTTTATGTTTATGGACACTTTTGGGGAAGCTCTACAAACCATAGTAGATGCCATGTTATTAGATGCTGAAATTTAGCCTCTTTGATACTCTCAGTTTAAGAAGCCAACGATTATGAATTTTGATGAGCTTACAGTGATAATCAATGAGGCAATGGTTTCCCATTTCTTTATTATTTTTGTGAGTAATTTTGTCAGTAATTTTCAAAACTTTCTCTTTATTTGGCAACTTTTAAGAATAAAGATTGCTAAACTGTTAGAAATATCTGTATTCATATGCACAATTACATATTTCATGTAGAAAATTTTAAAGGATTAGTTGTTAAGCCTGAGAAAATGTAAATGGCAGAAATGGTTAAAAAGTATTATTCTACTCAAATTCTTTTGCCCTTTTCATTGTTTTTTGTGGCTTTTATACTGAAATAATGAAATTAATTAATGTGCTAACATTTTGTAAGCTCTATGAAAACAAGCTTACAGTTTAAGAATTCTGACAGTGTGAATAATTAATCTGAGTTAAACATTCTGGCTTGTTAAGAATAGAACACGATGTCACAGGTTATTATAAAGTATCTTGTCTCCAAACTTTAATAGTGTTTCTTATCTGATGTATTGAAAGATTTGGCTTTCATGATAATTCATGAGATTCATTATAATTTTTTTTTTTTTTTAGATTATTGTTTGCTGTATGTTGTATGTAAATTTAGCTGACAGTGTTTACAATATGGTTTAAATTGCTGTTGGAGAGGTATTATATTAGATATATTTTACACTCCATAATTTTTATGCTGCAGATTTATTTTACTGTGTGGCATTTTAGAGGTGTTACATAATGTGTTTTAGTATTACATATGTGTTATATAGAAATTTATTGTAATTACTTAGATGATAATTATGTCATAAAGTACATTTTAATTTGTATAAAATATTTTTAACACACAAAATCAAATCTAAAAGTTGATCTCTATATAGAGATAGAAGAATATAATTTGATAATGCATTGCAGTCACTGTTGCCTGAAGTTTTCTCTATTGTTCTCACTCTTATGATCAGTTATAAAAGAGTATTTTGTGTGTATCTTTGTATCATTGCATATCTTTGCGTTGACTGGTTTGAATTTTTTTTTTCCCCAGAAAGCAATTGACAAACGGAAGGTACATATGATTAACATAGAAGACTTCAGGGCAATTTATCGAACTATTGTACATCGACTTGAATTTCAAGAACTTTTCCATATTTACTCTCCAAATGGAAAAATTCTAGCTGACACTGAGCTCGCTGAATTTCTCAAAAAGGAACAATATGAAACTGAAGCTTGTGAAACAACTGCTTTAGAAATTATTTTGAAGTATGAACCCATTGAAGAAGGTATGCATAGTTTAAGTGTTTGATTTCTAGCTCTTATTTATTGTGCTTCTGTCAGTGACTGTGATTATATTTTGAATACTCATCTAACTATACAAATTGAACATTTGAAAGAAAAAAATAATATAAGCATTTATATTATATTTATGTATGTTGTATAATATATTTTGTAAGCACTTGTACTAAATGTTGATTTTTTGAAATTCAGATCTTTAAACATTGTGAATGTAGTAATAGGAGAAACCATTAATGAAGCACAATAAATTTACACAGCATATTGCTCAGCAATAGCATATTACATTACTTACCAGATTTGTCATTCTTTCTTCTTGTTGCAACAGACTGGTCCAAAACCTACATGTAGATTGCTTCAAACAAAATACAATTTTCATATAGTAGATGAACTAATACAAACTGCACTAAATCTTTTTAATGCCCACTGAAACATGTGAATGACCATTATTAGGAAGCCAGACTGAATTTTTTTGTTTAGCTAAGTGTTCAAAAATAATTTTGCTCAATTAATTAACGGAATATAAATATTGCATTGCAAAGATAAAAAAAATAGCAATTATTTTTTTTAGCAACTGGTCTGTTCAGCACAGAATATTTGTCTTAGAGGAAATCAACTATTAGTAAATCGGTAATAATGGATGAATTTTTTTTTTTTTAATTTTCAGTATTAAAATATGAAGACTGAAGATAGGATTTTTTAAGACTAGAAGATGTCAGAATTTATTGTTATGTAATTTAGTTTGGTTTAACTACTCAGTATTATGATTCATAATCACAATACAGTGAAAATAAGTTTAGTTAAACCTTTTGCATTTCAAAGCACAGTTTACAACCAAGATTGTTTTAATCCTACTTGGGGGCCACGTTAATTTTTACAGAATTGTTGATATAGTAGAACTTTATGCTTAAAGTTTATCTTACAAATGGAAAGAATACATGCTACTAGATTCTGATATAGTAATTCCATTTTGTACTATTTAAACCTACAATTTGTTTTAATGGAATGCTCTCCATGAATCATACTTTTTGCACTTGGTATGTCTATATTTGTCATGTGACAGGAAGTTTAAATGTAGAAGTAATCTAGTAACAGAGATTTCACAGAGGAAAACAACTTCTAAGGATGTATCTACTGAGAAGGTTATATCACTTTTTCTTTACTGAGAAAGACTGAAACCTTAGGCAGTTACACTCTGGTTTGCCCTCAGCTGGATATGATTGGTAATGATATCAGGGATGCATTGAAGCAGTCTTGCAGACATGGTGGATGTTCAGCATCTTCAGCAGGCATGGAGTCTGGGTATTAATCTGTCCCATCATGTGTCTACTGATGTCATTATCCATGTTATTGGGGTGTTCTGGTTTCAGTTAGGACAGAGTTAATTTTCACAAGAAGCTGCGCTGGGACAGGACACAGCCAGGTGACCCAGACTAGCCAAAGGGGTATTCCATACCATATGACATCATGCTCACCATAAAAGGGGGCTAGCTGGGGAAAGGGTGGGGTGGTCCTGGGATGGTCTGAGCATCTGGTCAGTAAATTGCCTTGTGTTATCACCTGTTTTGTATATACTGTTATAAGTACTGTTGTTATTTCCCTTTCCGTTTGCTCTCCCAGTAAATTGTCCTTACCCAAGCCATGGGGTTGGCCTTTGTCTTCCCATTCTCCTCCCCATCCTGCCGGGATGGGGGTGGGGGAGGGATGAGCAAGCGGCAGCATGGTGCTCAGCTGCTGGCTTGGGCTGAACCACGACATGGGGTTAAAGCTGTAGTTAATTATTTATGCTCTCCCAAGCTGAAATGCCATTTCCATTTTGTTCTCTGATCAGCTTCTAAGTGTAAGTCTCTAAACACAGACTTCTACTAGCACAGCCTCATGGAACTGTTCAGATGGAAAGGGACCTTGGGAGGGCAGCTACCCCACCTTTCTGCTCAAAGCAAGGTTAACACTGAATTCAGAATAGGTTTCTAAGGGCTTTTTTCAGTCAAAACTTGAAAACTCTTAAGGACAGAGCTCCACAGCCTCCTTCATGTGCCCAGAAATGGCTTCCAAGAGTTCTTGCACCATGATTTTCCCAGGGATGAAATTGAGGCTGGCCAATCTGTAATTCCCAGAATTGAATCATAGAATTGTGGCATCATAGAATCAATCATAGGATCATGGAATAGTTTGAGTTGGAAGGGATCTTTAAAGGTCATCTAGTCCAACTCCCCCTGCAATGAGTAGGGACATCTTCGACAGATCAGGTTGCTCAGAGTTTCATCCATCCTGACCCTTGAATGTTTCCAGGGATGGGGCATCTACCACCTCTCTAGGCAATGTGTTCCAGTGTCTCACTGCCCTCATTATAAAAAATTTCTTTCTTATATCTATCTAGTCTGAATCTTTTAGTTTAAAACCATTACCCCTTGTCCTATCACTGCAGGCCCTACTAAAAAGTTTGCCCACATCTGTCTTATAAACCCCCTTTAAGTATTGAAAGGCTGCAATAAGGTTTTCCCAGAGCCTTTTCTTCTCTAGGCTAAACAACCCCAACTCTCTCAGCGTATCTTCATAAGAGAGGTGCTCCATCCCTCTGATGATCTTCATAGCCCTCCTCTGGACCAGCTCCAACAGGTCCATGTATTTCTTGTGCTGGGGCCCCCAGAGCTGGACACAATACACCAGGTGGGGCTTCACCAGAGCAGAGTAGAGGGGGACAATCACCTGCTGGTCATGCAATTTTTGATGCAGCGCACAAAATGGTTCGGTTTCTGGGCTGTGAGTGCAAAAAGTCCATGCCCTTTTTGAAAATGAGTGCAACATTTGCTGTTTTCCAGTCATGGGGGCCTTCCCTGATCTCTATGGTCTTTCAAAGATGATAGAGAATAGATGATAGAATCTGTGTTTTAATTTATTTTCATGGTGCTCTTCTTTCTCTGCTCTCTTCTTTGTCATTTATTTGTCTTTTTCCCTTGTCCTTTAACATATTCTGTTTTTCAACTCATTCTTGGCCATTACAAACCATTTTTTACTTTATTTTTCTTAGGGTTCTTATCTTCCCTTTTACTTGTCTGCTCTTTATACTGTCTTCTCTCACTTGAGTCATTTAGTGATAATGTACACCCCCTCCCCCCCAAACCCGAATACTTATATGTCCCCTTGACTTACTTGCAGAAGAAGCACTATGTAAAATCTTTATAGGTGCCTGATCACCACTCCTGAATCATGAGAACTGACAAGAGTGGAGGTTTGTTAAATCTGTAGTATGCATATTCTTCAGCTATTGAAGGCTGCTTCAAGTTGGGGGGGTGTAACATTTCTGCTGAGTTTCACTGAATATAACTTAAGGCAAAATTTGCAGCCAAGCTAAGAAGAGGAAATTGGCACTAACTGCGTTTTATTGCAAGCTATTACTTTGTTCAGTGGAAGGTGAATCTCAGATATTTAACTTTGCTAGTTTCCTTGGTTGCTTGTCTTTGATAAGGGGTGAAACTGATAAGTGGTTAAGAAAAATAAACCCAAGAAGGAGAAAATCTTCCTTTTGGGATAATAACCCTGGAATATCTATGCTGATCAGTCCCACTGTGGTAGAAAGAAGAAACTGGATCAGTCTTTCAACTCAAAAAAAAAAAAAAAAAAAAAAAAAAAAAAGAAGATATTTAGTGTTTCATTAAGAATTACTCACTGTCCAGTAATAGCTGCAAAACTTTTGATTCCTTATGACATTACTTTCTGAGATTGCCTTTCAAATTAAAACACATTTATTGAATAGATTCTACTCTTTCTGAGAACTAATATGTTTACTAATTAATTATATAATAAGTTACCCATTTAAAATGTTTCTTTTGTGTAGAGTTATCAATTTTGATGAGAAAGATAATAGCTATAAACAATGAAGACTCGGTAGTCAGTTAGAAAACACATTTGTAAATATCAACTAAAGTTTCTATAATTTTAATTTAATGTCTAGTTTAAATTTCAGCTGCTGAGTCAAATTGTTTGTTTCTTTATCTGTGATTAAATTGTTTGTCTTGTAATTGGAAATAATCTTACTGAATGAAATAATAGCTGTATTCATGCTCCTTTGAGTGAACTAATACTCCCACTCAAAGATATTTATTGGAAAGTTCCAGATATGATTGACATGATAGTTGATTCATATGCTGTTGTGATATAGACCATTTTGTGTAACTGTCATTCTGAATTTGGTTTAGAATATTCTTCATCAGGATGATCTGTTGAACTCATCTACCATCCTTGTCCTGTGTATTGCAGAAAGGGAAAAGGGCAGATTCTGACACTTGATTGACTGGTTTGCTAATAGTGACAACCATTATCTGATAAACTTGATAGCACTAGTATGTCAGGATTAAGATAAAAATGGACTAGATTTTATATACAACGTTGATAAGTCCGTCTATGACATTTAGTGCATCCCTAACGTATAGGTGCAGAGAGAAGGTTTTTCGATGCTATTGAGCCAGATAACTCTGAAATAACTCTCTAAGGGTAATGTAGTTAGTTTAGGAACAGTAGGGAATACATCACTCTCCCATTTTTATTGTACAATTTAAATTTCTAGTGGCAAAATGCTGCATTAAGAGTTTTTTTGTGTGTGCTAAAACTTGCATTTTTGACTGAAGGAACCATTTTATGGAATTAATCATAAAAGGGGGTGAATATATGATTCACACCTGACAGTTGTGTCTTAACATCCAAATGCCAGTTTTGTTCTACACAAACATTCAATTATCTGTCCATTTTATTATTAATTTTTAATAGAGATCTTGAATCATTAAATGAGATTAAAGATATCATGCCAAGCAAATGCACTTTACTTTTCAAGCTTGGTATATATCTCTTTAAAAAAAATAAATTGCTCGTAATTCAGTATTTGCGTGAATAGGATTAGAGGCACTGTGAGGATAAGAAGGTGCATCCCACTATTATTTACAGTGTAGTGCTATTCAAATACTTTATTCCTGTTTCTGTGTTTTCCTGCTAGGCAGTAGAAAACCAGGTCAAAACTAGAATCGTGTCTTGAAAAACTTGCTTACTTTGTAAATAACACTATAAGCTTGGTGCATCTGTCAGGTAAAGAATTTGAGTAATCCAGAATGTATTTGTGAATCAAAACAACATCTTAAGTTTATTACTAGGATATACGTTCTCTTAAAATTGTTTTTTGTGTGTGCATGTGTGTGTGAGAGAGAGAGCAAGAGGGAGAGCATGCATTTGTGGGAGAGAACTTTTGATCCCATTGACCAATGTAAACCAAATTTAACAGAGTAGATACCTAAGTCAAATTCGTACAGATTTCATAAAAAATCATGTGAAATAAGAAAGATGACTTAAAATTCTCAGCTAAGGCAATGGCTGAAGCTGGATTTATGAAACATGAGAATTCAGATGTATGAAAGAGCATGTAAATATTCAATTTTAGGAAAAGCTTTCACCAGATGACAACAACCGAATATGAGATACAAGCCCTTAGAAAACTAAACTGCAGCTCAGACAGATACTTTATTCCAGTATGCATCAGTATTAGTTACAAGTCTGAGTCAGGTGGAAAATAGACTCCCTGGAATGTAAACTCAGAGTAGAAAAAGAATAACTGAACTCTTATTTTAGCCAAGGAAATATTTGTCTTTACTTTTCACCTAGAGTATAAATGTTTTAGTCTGACATTAAGTAGACAAATTTCATAGTATGAAATTCCATCTGATAATGTTTCTGCCTTGAGGCTATTATTGATACTTCTAACAATAATTGAAAGCTTCCTTCTTCCAATATAGCAGTGCAACACCCTTGTTGCTGATTGCAAGTATTTCTCAAAAGTTCACCCCTAAGATTCCCAGCAGACATATTTGTACCCATTTCACTATTTCTGGTGGCCAAGTAACATAAACATTTAATTACTAATTTGGCTATTAGGAAATACAGAATATACACATCTAAACACAGCAAAAACAGCTTTCTTTTCATTTCCCAGGCTGAACTTCAGTTCAGACTCCTTTCCTCCCTAATTCCTAGTCTCCACTTCAGTCCAGGCACTTCTCCTCCCACCTTGTCATTGCTGCATGTTGTACTCAGTCCTTTCAGTGAGGAAACAGGTGTTGCAGGAGGCTGTGGTCAATGCATAGTGATTTCTTTCTGCTGCTCCACCTTTCTCACATTTTTTTTTTTTGCTACTGCTTCGTTCTTACTTGTTTCATCTGCTTCAGTGTGGATCCTCCCCACAGGTCCCTTCAGGGCAGCATACATCTTTTGAAAGTGTTCATTTTTTTCTTTCCATAAAGAAAGAAAAATGCTTTCAAAGAAGTTCCAAGATAAGTGAGAAAACAGAACGTAATAAACTCTAAAAAGCATAGGTATATAATGTGATCCAAGTCTTTAAAATATTCAGGTCATATCCATAATTCCCCTCTGATATGGCAGTGTTTGTATATATGGCAGAGCTGGAATTTACCTTAACTGGAGGAATGAGGAAAAACTTTTTTTTTCAAAATGATGCTTGGAAAAAAAGAATATTTATTAATAAATTATATTCCTTACTATCCAAAGCGGGGGGCGGGGTGGGGAGGGGGGAGGAATAAAGCATAGAACTTTGTAAACAACAAGAAGCTACAAGACAGAAATCTTTTCTTGCTTTCTTTTTCTTTCTACATCAAATGGATATGTGTGCACACTAACTACTGCTAAAGGATCCTAATGGAAAAAAAGACTGAGGTTCCTCTTGGGAAGAAATGTGAGGGCTTGATGAAAGTATCTTTTGACTGCAGAACAGTTATGGAGATGAATTCCCATTTCTTTTTTGTAGAAGCAGAAAATGTCTGTAAATGGTCAGAAAGTGGTATGACTGTGCTATTCCTCAGAACATAAAAAGCATCCCCTTCCATTCCTAACTAGGTTTGGTATCTTCATCAGAGAGAGTTATAAAGAAAGCCGGTAAGTTTTCTCCAGTGGTAGGAGAAGCGTGAATGAATAGTAGCAATAACAAAATATTAAGCCTACCTTTATCTTAAATTCTAATATCTTCTACCAAACATAAGATCTCAGAAAACTTATTTTAGCAGATGGTATGCCATTTATGTTCACGTGATGCTCTTTTGCATATCTCAATTCACAGAACTGCATATGTTGCCAGAACTGTTAGTGCAAAGCCACTCTCTTCCTGCTTACAGATAGGTCTTATCATTTTACAAACTTGCTTGGAGTTTTGGTAGTTCTCCAGAAACATGATGGTGGCTTTAGTTGTTTGCGGTTCAAGGACAGCAACTACAGATCCCTGAGGAAAAAAAAAAAATTGTAAGCCAATGTAATACAATGGCCTGTAATAAACTCTATAAAAATACAAAATATTTTTAGTCCATTGATTAGAGACATGAGCTGAATATTTTACTGAAGTCAAAGAATCACAGAATGGTTTGGGTTGGAAGGGACCTTAAAGATCTTCTAGTTCCAAGCCCCCTGCCATGGGCAGGGACACCATCTACTAGACTAGGTTGCCCAAAGCCCCATCCAACCTGGCCTTGAACACTTCCAGGGATGGGGCATCCACAACTTCTCTGGGCAAGCTGTTCCAATGCCTCATCACCCTCACAGTAAAGAATTTCTCCCTACTATCTAATCTAAATCTACCCTCCTTCAGTTTACCATTCCTCCTCGTCCTATCATTATATGTCCTTGTAAAAAGTCCCTCTCCATCTTTCAAAGACCTTACATGTTGGTTACCAAAGTAACACAAATTTACTTTATAATGTTTTCACTTTTAGGGCATTATGGTCATGAGCATATTTATCTGAACATATACTGAGTTCTTGAGAACTCAGTAGTTATCTTTTATCTATGACAAGAGCAGCCAGGAAATCATAAAAAATAATTCAGAAAATAAAAAAAACCTTTGAAAGTCAGTATTTTTCACTAATTTAAAAGATAAATGAAAAAAAATCATGTAAGAATTGTTGGTAAATAAAAAAATACAAAAAGTTGGTAAATAAAAAAAAATACAAAAAGTTACTGGCCCAACTTGTAATTACACAGAAAAATATATAGAGCATGAAAAATAAATTAATCAGAAATGTAAACTAGATACTATTAATCAAAAGCCTTCTCTTCGAAGGAATTAAGTCTATAAGTCATGTAATTCATTGTAGATAAAGCGTACAGGATGAATGTATTCTGTTTTGGGCAACATGCAAAAAAAATCAAAACTTTTTTAAAGATTCAGAAACTAGAAACTTAATCTTATTGCTCCAAGTATAAAACAATATAACGTGCATGGGGATAAACCAAAAAAGCCAAGATAATAAAACACAACTATCAAGAATCATCAGTGCAACACCAAGTCATTCTGCAAATATGTTAGTTAAAAGAAAGACCAAGGAAATTCTTGATGCACTACCTAAGTATAATGAGGTCAAAGATCTCAGTCAAAAATATGGAAAAAAATAGGGAGGGCATGCTTAAGTGACTTAATCAGATCAGTGAAGACCAGTTGACAAAAGAGAACAAATATTTTGGTCAGCGAGGAAGTTTCAGAGTAAAAGTTATGGAAAAGTTTCTAACAACAAGGTGACTTAGGTGCTAAAATGGGATGTCTGTGGATTTGTCATCAATGGAAGTCTTCAACAGACTTCATATCATTTGTATGATTAAGGACAACAGTGTATGCATGTATGATGTCTGGAGGGCCTTCATCCTTGTTTTCTATTTTATAACATTGCAAAGTTTTCTATTTCAAAAAAACATGTCATTTAGAAATAATTATTTTCTTTGTGTTACCATCATCAGAATGACATTCATAAATTCTCATTCAGATAGAAAGCTTTCAATCTGTACACATACTGATGATTGATAATTGCAATTCTAACCTGTAAATTGTGATTCTTATAGCTGTATTGAGAATTAACAGGTCAGATAAGTGCTGTGGGTTTTCTTTGTTTGTTTGGGATTTTTTGGGGGAGGGAGGGGGAGTGTGTTGTTAAAAGTTTGAATACATTGACTGGTTTAAGTTATCGTTAACAGAAAGTAATCTTGGATTACTTACTGCTTAATTATCACTAGCCTACTATGGTGATAATAATAAGGTTATTTTAGAGCCAGAGCTGGGCAAAATCACTGACTAATTCAAACTAGGTTCTGTTTTGAAGCAAAGCTGACTTCTGAGATTATATCATTTGCAAAATTATTACATTTGAAGCATGACATTGGAGCAGCAGTTGGCAGTATAATGGATCTGTTTGTCATTAAATCAGTTAAAAACAAAACAAATGGGATGACTGTCACTGGTATGGAGGCAATTAGCACATTTTGTTATAGAAGCTGTAATATAATAAGCTTGATTTGCAATTCGTCTTTGTGGGCAGTCATTTATTTTGTTAAGATGCTGTTTTTATTTGAAATACTTCTAATTTAAACATTGTTCCATCAGTATTTATTTGGAATTTTCCACCACTAAGAAAGATATTTGGTGCTAGGAATCAGTTTCTGCAAGATTATTTTGACAGTCTCCGACTGACATTTTGGAGAACAATTCTTCTTCTTTCTACAGAGAAAAGAAATTCTCTTTGTGCATTGACTGGCATGGTACTTTCCAACACTAAACAGCAAATATTTTCCTTTGTATTTTATTAGGACTACTGCAAACTCTTCTTACGCATGTCCATAGAAGAACAAAAATGTCAGAACACATTTGTTTCCTCTCATAATTTTGAACCAGCAATTCAGCCCCAGAACTGCACACATTTGATGTTTGTGTTTATATTGTTTGTTATGAATTTTAAAATTGTGGGAAAGTGTCCTGATGTATAACCTTTAGCGATGTTCAGAATTGGCTATTAAAAATTATGGAAAGTGCACAGATATAACCATCAGTTTAGCTTCATACCAGAAATTTTTCTTTCTTTTTTTGTTCAGTGAGGAAAAGAAGGCAGATGTCATTTGAAGGATTTATAAGGTATATGAGCTCAGAAGACTGTTCGGTATTTAAAAACAACCACAGGACCGTCTACCAAGATATGAACCACCCATTATGTGACTATTTTATTTCGTCTTCTCACAACACCTACTTGATATCTGACCAGCTAATAGGGCCCAGTCATTTATGGGGATATACCAGGTATTTAGATACCAGTTTTTAATATTTTAAACATTCTTTGGCTTTTTTTTTAAATGAATATTAAGTCACATATAATCCTACTTGGCAGTAATGTACAAAGCCATCACAGATACAAGTAGAAAATGTGAGAGTGGTATTTTATTTTGTGTGTACACTTTTCAATATATTTGCCAAACCATCTGTTCGTAGTCTGGAAACAATCTATTTTTTTACTTACATCTCAAGAAGTCTACCTCGCAGCAAATGAAATCTATAGTATGCCGCACAGTATATGATTAAATCAGTTTTAATCTCAACATGCCATGCAAAAATAAATAACTCCCTGAAATAAAAGTAAAATTCCTTGGCAAAATCTAATCTGATCAATATACAGGACATAAAGGCACAGTATGGTGGGTATGTCAAGGATATCTGTGATCAGCATGTGTTGCAATGTGGTCAGTTTAAAAACAACAACAGCAAAAAATGTGGGCACTAGAGTAGCCGGGGAGAGAAGAAACTTTGAATGTGCAGCATATGGCTCCAAGAGGAGAAGAAAACCAGGATGCTTTATTGCCAAGACACATTTAGAAGAAATGATCAGGCAAGGAGAAAATGGGTTATGTTAGAAAGGCAATACAGAGGGGGACAGAAAGCATGAAAAATTGGGAAGACAGGTGTCCAGCATTCCTATTACTCTGTACTACTTTAGTGAGGTGAAAGCAGTTGGAACCTTCATCTATCTGAACTTTTCTGTTTTGGTGGTTCTCTGGATATTCTATAATGGCTTGCAACCATCAGAAACACTAGTGAATCTATTTCTAACAGTATTTAAGATTATATGAGGTAAATACTGCCTTGCTTAAAGTAAGTACAAAGAGGGCATGAACCCCCCCTCTCTTCCAGTTTATCTACTGTTTGTGTAAGGAAAATCTGAAATACTAAAATAAGCTAGAAGCATCTCTGAGATATTATTAGCATGTAAAGGGCAGCATTTAAAAGAGAGATTGGTAATTAGGCAAATTAATCTACAAGAAACGTTTAAATTAGTAACAAGCCAAATATTAGAAACTGAAGACCTTTAAGGGGTACCATTAACTTATTAAAAATTAAAACAGAGTAAATTTAAGACATCTGAGAAACTTTAGCACTCCCTCTTAGGAATAACAAGGAGGGAGAACAACTGAATTATGTACAGACCAAGCACAACCTGATTCTGTAAGGGTGATGCTGTTGTTTTTAAGTATAATGATTCTCAAACTTGCAGGCAAACCCTGGAATAGTAATAAAAAAGGCCTTTTCAAACATTTCTTCTTCTATTTTAAGCAGCGATTTGCTATAATTACAAAATTCTTTTATTTAAATCTTTCAACCTCATTTTTAGTCTCTAAATGAATGTTATTCAGATAATCCATCTTACTCCTTAATGCTCTAATAAATTTTATTACCCAACATGCCTAAGATAAACAACAGAAAATATAGCTGTCTCATATCTGTATAGTTCTATAGGATTCCTTTTGTTTTGTGATGAAAAAGTAGAGGTTTTTGCAATTATTCAATGTGCTTGTAATCAGAAATACAATGACTTGTATAAGAAAGTGTGGTATCTTTCTTTTGACTGTAAAATTATTTCTCTTGTTCTTTTGAAGTGCTCTCTTAAAAGGATGTCGTTGCCTGGAAATTGACTGCTGGGATGGCTCAAACAATGAACCTGTTGTGTATCATGGTCACACTTTAACAAGCAAAATTCCATTTCAGTCTGTAATTGAAGTGATAGACAAGTATGCATTTGTGGTATGTATATACATTTATTTATATATATATATGTATTTGTGTTGGTTAAAATGTGATGGTGACTTTAACAAAGCCCAGGGACATGGTTGTTGTCAGAGATTCTCCAGGTTAAAAAAATATGAAACAAAGACAGTGGTCGTGGCAGTGGGCATTGCTGAAATAAATTAAGGGAAAATTGTGCTATTTGTTCTTAATATAATTTTTTATTTTATTTAAGGAACGGTAAACGTATTTTGCTGATAATGATGATAAATCAAAGTTGGTGCAAGGAATTCAGACGATCCTACTCAGCTTGTTAGGTGGAATTCTCACCTGACACCCTTTAAGCAAGGACTGAATATAAAGTAAAAAACTACTTCAGAATCAGTCTGATGTTTTACTTTATATTTTTGTTTTCTTTATATTTTTCATTTTTTTATTTCACTTGTTCCTCTGTTGCTATCTGTCTGTCACATCCTATGCTTAAATTTACAAAATAGAGAAAAAAAGCTGGATTATAGCTGAGTTTGTAGCTTACTCTGTTTTCCATTTCCTCTCTTTTTATTTTGAATTCAAGGCCTGATAAAGGTTACCATCTACTGCTGTCTTTTTGTGAGATGACTCATTAGGGCGACATCCCTTCTGCCTATCTCTGGCAAAGCAGCTAAAGCTGGAGAGCTTTTGGCACCGTCTCAGTCTTTTATATAGGTTTTTGGCAAAACTCCTGCTCAAATGAAGTCCTGAACAACTATTAAGCTAACTCTTGTATTCAGGCCAGCTTTACGTGTGTGAATATATACACCTATGATCATACTTTTATATGGATTTTTATACATATATATTTATAGCCTTCTCAGAGTTAAGCAAACCTATATTTTTTTATGTTGTGATTTCTGTATAAAATTTAATTAGTCTGATTTTAAAAGACAGTGAAAACAAAAATAGGGTTTTATTTCACTGTTCTTTACCACTCATTAAATGTAACTCACCTGTTTTTGCTAAAACACAGCATATTGTACATAACTGTAATACAAACTTCATTTAACAGGCACAAGTTACAACAAGATGATAAAATCACAACAATAGGTAATGGTTCATACCAGCTGCCTATCCAGGCCAAGGTGTGCTTCTATTAGTGATCAACGGCAAATGTTCAGGGGAAAAGTGTAAAAACAGGGCAAACATAAACTGACACTTCCCTTAGAAATGGACAGTTTAGGTTCTGCCCAAGCAAAGATTTTATTCAGACTATTTGGGTTTTGTAGCCACCAGTATTACTGGCAACTTCTGAGATGTATTTACACAGTCTAAATGGACATGTCTCATTTGAGCTATTCTCTAATTTTTACTCAATTTACATGTTTCACCTGTCTTACTTGAGTACTGTGATGAGTAACGTGTATAGAGATCCAAGAAAAGTTTGTGGTGTTATAAAAAGATATGCATAGCTTGTTCATATGAAGGCAATGATGTCTGAGCAAATGGTAAGGATACTGTCAACTTGAAATGTAGTCAATTAAAATCTGTCATAAATTAAAGCAAAAGACATTTAATCCTGGTTTATTGTGTCAATTACACTTTTAGAATGTGATTTTACATTTAAAAAAAAACAACAACAAAATATAACAAAACAGAAGAAACTCTCTCCCCCACAAAACAGAGAAATATTTGAAATCTGTGTCACTTACAGTAAGCTGGTGGCTACAATTTATATTTAGCTGAAAGCCAATTTTGCCTTATTTATCGTTATTTTTTCATTGTCCTTTAAAATAGATGCCAGCTACTAAAGGAACCATCACTAAAATATGTCGGATGTAAATTTAAATGTACATCATTATGTCAAAGCTTCCAAGTTCTTCCTATAGGTACATGAAAATTGTAATAATTTTGTTTTCTGTTTTTCTTTTCCCTTATATCCCCTTGTTGAAATTATTTTTCGCAAAACTTAGTCATTATTTCTAAAAACATCATCTACCCAATGTGATAATTCCCTGTTGGGATGACTTAGTCAACAGAATTTCAGAGCAGTTGTGATATGTAACATTTAGGTGCAAAAGAAAAAGCAGATGTTAGTTCTGAAGAGGTGAACATTTCTTTAATTTTGAAAAACAACAAAATGATCAACACTGATGTTTTTACAATTCAGAATGTTTTAAGTCTCCTTTGAAATGAACCTAAATAATTTTTTATGCTTTAGCACATCGGGGAGGTTTTACCCCATCCTCCTTTTTTGGCAGATGACATTATAATTCCTCTTTTTTCTTTGTAAGATCATTTGTTGAGAAACGCTGTTTCAGACACACGATAGCCAATGTATCATTCTTTAGAAGCTCTGTGTATAACCCAGGCCATTAACTCTCTGAGAAATTCTGCTTTTTGCTTCCAGTTTGTACTCTGCCCAGTGCAATTTAATCAGTCTGATTTTTGGCTGATTTAACACTTATTTTCTCTCTATTTTCGTTACATCCAACATTAATTAGTAAGTTAAATGCCTCTGATAATTTATTTTCTATGGCTTATTGGACAAATACATTTCAATATGCGCGTTCCAAAGATCAGCACAGATATTACCTGGTTTCTCTAATGAAGTCTTGTGTCCTCCTTAACTGATCTTCATTTGATTTCACTAGTTGTTTTGGTTTTTTTTTCATCTCTGAATATATCTAGCCCTGTTTTAACCCCCCTTAACTTCCTGAGGATGCATTTTTTTTTTCTCTTTTTCAATTCTACTTTCTCTTTTCTGTAAATATTATGAGCTTTTTTATTGTGTTACTAACCTGAAACAACTGACCTATACTCTGAAAGTTTTGAAAATAAAAGAAAATTAGCAAGGGAATTTTTGCGAGATATTTTGGGAAATCAAGTAGTCCTATTTTTATCTATTATTATTAATATTTATTTGTTAAATATTTATTTATTAATATTAATAT